CACAGTACATATGAACTTAATACAATACAATAAAAAAAAAAAAAAATCACACAAGAAATGCCAGAGCGTAAGACGACGGCTGATTTCCTACGTTTTTAAAGCATGTATAGCTATAGGAACAAAAAGGGTTCAGTTATTAATTATTAGGTAACTCAACTCTCTAAAGTGGGGTTCCTCAAACGCTGTCCTGCAGATTTCAGCTCAAACTCTGATCAAACACACCTAAACAAGCTAATCAAGCTCTCCAGAAGGACTAGACCATTACAGACAGGTGAGTTTGATCAGGGTTTGAGCTGAACTCTGCAGGACCAGATCTGAGGAAGCCTGATCTAAAGTTTACAAACCCTAACCTGATTCTTAACCCCAACAGAATCATTCATTCATTCATTCATTCATCTGGTAAATCTGCAGCTGTTTCTCAGGATCACAAACTCACTGGTGACTTCATTCACTTCACTGGAAAACTGTACTAACTAGAACTGTTAACATGAACTAAACACCTGCTGCGGACTGTTCAGAGCCCAGCTAACAAAAACATATTCTAAGAATGTTTTGCTAATGTTATGAAAACATCATCTCTGAACGGTCTCTGAACATTCTGAAACTAGAACCGTTCAAAAACCATCCGATGAATGTCAGTTACAAGGCTTCAGAAAAATGAATGACGTATAAATAATATTTTTGTGCTAACGTTTGAAAACATTATTAAAGACCAAATAACTTTGAACATTCCTTTATTAATGCTACTGTAAGAATGTTTGTTCAAAACTTTGAGAGAACCAGATTAAGGGTTAATGGTACGGTTAACTTTAGGCTCTTAAACTGATACACTGACAGTAACTAAACATCATAACTTTAAATAACAATATAGAGACCTTTAACACTTCATGTCATAGCAGTGCACTTAACCTTACCCTAACACACACAGAATGAGTTGTTGGGTGGTTTTGTCAGGCTTCTGGAGGCAAATCTGTCCTCAAAATATGGTAAAAAGGTCCACACATCAACAATAACAGCAATTTACTGTTCAGATGGACAACACAAATAAAACAAAAAGAAAACGAATGTCAGTCTCACCTGCTGAAAGCTCTGAGAGAAGCAGCGACTGATTCACACACACACACACACACACACACACACACACACACACACGAGTCTCACAGCACATGATGTGTGTGAATCAGTGTGTGTTCATCACATGAGCTCTGCTCATCACAGCAGCATCTGATGAACCTTCAGTCACTGAGCTGAAGATGTGTGTGTAACGTCACACATCACTCACGCTATTTGTTTTATAGTACTGATGTTTACATCTGTTTATTCCTGTTTATAGTCCAGCTGTCTGTGCCACGAGTGTGATGAATGACATGTGCGGAGCCGCCGGTGCCCGTGTGTGTGAACATCACCAGACCGGCAAACCACTTCCATTTATAGTCACCGGCCTGCCAGGGTGTGTGTGTGTGTGTGAGTGTGAGTGAGTGTGTGAGACAGTGTGTGTGTGTGTGTGTGTGTGTGTGTGTGTGTGAGACAGTGTGTGTGTGTGTAATGACATTCTGTCTTAGTGTCTTTTCACCATCATGAATATCTCTCGTTCACACACACACACACACACACACACACACACACACACACACACGCTTGAATCAGATTGAAGCAGAATAGTAATAAATAACGACAAGAGTTTGATTCATGTTGCAAATGCTTAGAAATGTTCTGTTACTGTGTTGACTGCAATGACTCATGTCACACACACACACACACACACTGTTATTGTCGTCTGTGCAGCATCTGGTGTGTTAGCAAAGCTTGTGCCATCTGGAAAAACACCACAAGATTCATCTGCTGCATTTTAGTTTGACTTTCCTGATCAGAGACACACGACACACACATGAAAGAACCAGTGAAGCAGTGAATCAAGATGAAGAAAATCAGTTCTCCTGCAAATCTACCAACAGAAACATTGTTTTTATATTTACCTTTTGGATAGCTAGTGAATACAGATCTGCACACACACACACACACAGTCTGGTCAGCTATCCTTGTGGGGACTCTCCATAGGCGTAATGGTTTTTCTACTGTACAGACCGTATATTCTATTGCCCTACACCAACCCTACCCCTAATGAGTTACAAACACTACTGTTATTAACAACAGAGCCAGTGACACATGGGTGAAGCACAACACTTTATTATTATCATTATACTGCTGGTTATGGATATACGGCTGATGACAAACCTACAAAAACAACATGCAACAGGACTCAGGAGTGTATGATTGGTGGCTCAGACAATATGTATGACATCTTACCATGTGAGCCCGACCAATTAAACGAACTGAGTCCCAATTCAGAGGCTGCATCCTTCAAAGGCCGCGAAAGTCAAACCCAGTGCTGTTAAACTAATAGGATTGCTCTTGTCAGACTCAGCTAGCAACAGCGACAGCTGCCACTGATAAGCAATTGGACTGAAAACAAAACAGGGTTCACTACTTGTTTAATTATGCTCACCTTTGTCCACTTATCTGCATAATAAAGTATAAATAATCTATAAAATTGCATCTTAGTAAGACATTACAGCAACATTTTTTTTCTAACTTTAGATATTTGATTAAGTTGAAACCCAATACTTGCACTTAAAGGTGCTGTATGTAATTTTTTTGACTGTACTAAAGCATAAAAATACCATAAAATGTAAGGAAACGTGCTAAGTTCACATACTTGTTTCTCTGAAAAACAATGCTACAGCCAGGTATTCTACTTTGAAATGAGCCAGTTATTCTACTGCGTGACTCCGCCCACTGCCCAATAGTACCCAATAGTATTTCAATAGCCCAGGTTGCCAGTTGGTGGAAAACAGAGCGTATTGCAGCCACAGAAGTGAGCAAATGAACTGGGTCAGAGATCGTAGATTCTACCCAAACTAAAAAGCCTCGGCATCCATCTAAAAATCTCTATGAGCAGAGGAATATTAAAACGCGATAAATCAACTCATCAACTTACAGGGTAAGGCTCGTTGCCTTCCTTTTCGCTCGTTCCTGTTACGTATCCTCAATCTGAAAACCTGTATGAGTGAGGAGAAGGGGGCATTTTAACTGCTAGCTGCAATATTACATAGTGCACCTTTAAAAGCCAAAAAAATTGCCGCACAATGAATGTTGGGATAGTCTGTGCTGTGAAGGACCCATCTGATATATCCTTCATGGTCCAGAAACGCCACATCTGATGCATTCGGTCTGAAAATGCAGCCTCTGAATTGGCACACAGCTACAGAATGAGAGGACATGTGTGCAGCTGTGTGCTCAATATTAGCGAAGAACTCGAAATGTGATCACCTAGCTGTCATCTGAATTACGGTGTCTGAAAATGCAACGTACATGCAGTTACTTCACTGGATTCTGAATCTGTAGCAGCGTTACAGCCCGTTACAACTCAACCCTAATCCTAACCCTGTTAACTCTACTCTAACACTTTACTTTGATGGTCACCTTTAAACACTCTGTTGACTATATGTAACTTTGCAAGTACATGTCCACTTATTCTACTAACCCTAACCTAACAATCTACTAATACTCTAATGAGAGTTAGTTGACATGTAGTTGCAAAGTTAATTATAGTTGTCTAAAGGGGACCATCAAATAAAGTTGAACTGTCCTAACATCAGCAGGCGGGGCGGTGTGTGTCCTCCAAGTGTTCAGTTTCATATGTGTGCCGGGTTATTTTATATATGAGCTGAAGTACACATAGCTGGTGAAGGTGAAGCTGTCCTGTAGTTTCTGCGCCGCCGTCGGCTCTCAACCCAGTGTTCTGCGGCGGCTCTCAGCTGAGCTCCTGATCGCTGGTGCTCGCGGGGTTGCCGTGGAGACCCCCGTTGAGCGAGGGCCGTGCGGAGGGCCGTGATTGGCCCATGAGGCTGCTGCGGCGGCTTGTGCTGGAGTTCTTGCGTCTGCTGGGGTTAGTGTGAGCGTCGGGGCAGGACTCCACACGCGTGACCGTGTACAGGCTGCTCTGGCGGTTCTGCTGGAAACGGGTGCTCTGGAGCTCCAGCTCGTCACTGTCCGACACGTGAATGAAGGGACACCAGCGAAACACCCGCTTGAAGCCTGCGCGGAACCTGCGGCAGAAACGCGAGCGAGATAAAACAGCTGGGGAACAGCACTTGATATTACATTTACCTCATGAAGGCCATTTAGTGTTAAAGGGTTAGTTCACCCAAAAATGAAAATTAGCCCATAAATTACTCACCCTCAAGTCATCCTAGGTGTATATGACTTTCTTCTTTCAGACGAATCCAGCTCCACCATTAACAGAATTTTACATCTTTCTGTTTTTTCACTGTTATACGGTAGGAGGTCTTCTAAGCAGATGCATATGTAAAATAATGCAATCATGAAACATTAAACAGCATATAAATCAAAACGGCCTAATGTTACTGAATGAAATGTCGACCCAGCAAGTGGTTTAGGACTGTGAAGCTTTGGGGTGTTGATGGAATCGATCTACTCCATCTGTGTTTTGATCATCAATCTGAATCTGATCCAGACGTAGTCTTTCACAAAAACACTGTTTTCCTTTCTTTTTTTCAAAATGTTGCTTTTTTTTATTTTATTAAACTTACCCACATCCAAGTGTTGATAGAAAGAATGCATGAAGCTAGAATAAAACTTTTTTTTTTAAGCAGAGGCTCTGTTCTTTCTTTTAACATATAGCATATGTTCAGATATTCATACTACAAATTATTCTGGGGGCCATGCCAATTTTGTGAAAAAGATAAAAAATGTTGGCGGTGGCTGGCAACTTTTTTAAAAACCGCTGGCAGGGAAAGAGTTAATGACACGTTAGTTTGCTACAAAAGTGAACTTTAAGAAGAACATATCGTAAATTGTAAATGCAAATGTAAATCATATCTAAAATACATATTTAAATGTATGCATTCGGTGATGTTTGTGTGTGAGCGGTACCTGCTGTTGAGGCAGCAGTAGATGATGGGGTTGTACATGGAGGAGCTCATGGAGAGCCACAGCACTGACAGATACACCTGCTGGATCGACTTGATCCTCTTCAGCTTCCGGTTGAAGCTCGTTACGATGAAATACACATGATATGGAAGCCAACAGATGGCAAATGCTACCACCACGATCACCATCATCTTCACAACCTACAAAAACATCACAACAACTTTGGCCATAAAACTGAGAACACACACATACACACATGTGTGCAGCCAACTACATTTAAAAAAATCAAATAGGCTAAAATATTACCAGTATTTCTGCTGTAATTATGACAAAACTGACTTCATATTGGACAGGAGACTTCAAGCAGGCCTCATTTGACTCAGACTAGCAAGCAGACTATAAATAGTGACATCTCAACCTCCTAGCCACACCCTAACAACCACCCCATAGACTTCCATTGAAAAGGATGAGAGGAATATCTCTGGTTCAGAACATTGTAGAGACAAACAGGTGGGCTCTTTGGACTCAGACTGCCTGACAACTGTCTAGCCACGCCCTAGCAACCACACAGCACCCTAGCAATCACTCAATAGAATATAAGCCATAGTTCAGCTCCAGAACACCGAACAACATGTGCTTTCGCTCGTTTGACATAGCTGTCCATTCAAACATCAGAGTTTGTTCACTAACTTTAGCCTCTAGTTTATTAATTTAAGCCCCGGTTGAGAACCACTGTTCTAAATGAACAAACGCAGATATGGACGATACATGAGAAGATCAGCAGAAGAGCACAAGCACCTTTCTCTTGGCCTGCAGGTGACCCTGGAGGTTTTCTGAGGAGCGTCCTGGAAATCCTCCGCCCCACAGCGTGAGTCCGACCCTGCTGTAGGTGGCAGCCATGAGCACCAGAGGCAGGAGATACACCAGCACCGCCACGATCACGTGATATCTAACAAACACACACATGCAAATCAACCTGTGACAGGGAACAGAGGGTTCACACTCAATGGAAACGACAGCTGTCTGTCTCTCACATGAAGGCGTCGTCGTCGCGCCGCGGCCAGGCCACGTAGCACACCGTCCTGTGCGGCCTCACTTCGGTTATGGAATAGAAGCAGAGTGGAAACGCCAGAAACGCAGCCAGAATCCACACGCATGCGATCACGCCTTTCGTGGCTGTTGCTGAGAGGCGTGGCTTCATCGGGTGGATGATCGCCATGTACCTGATCAAAGAGGAAGTGACACAGGAAGTGACCTGGATGTTTTTCACCTGTACATCTTAAGAATAAAGGTTCTTTATTGGCATCGATGGTTGCATGAAGCACCTTCAACATCTTTCCATCGCACAAAAGGTTCTTTATAGAGGCTGACCGAGAGTGGATTTTACCGATAATTATAACTAGGTTGGAATGTTCAAGTTCTGTATTTAGTTCGTTTATTTCTAAGGCACATTTAAGCACGGATACGGCCGACCAAAGTGCTGCACAATAAAAGAATAAAAATACACAATGAATGAGCAACAAACAAATTAAAAACATGAAAGAACCAAACACAGCCACATTTATGACCCTGGAGCACAAAAGCGGTCTTAAGTCGCTGGGGTATATTTGTAGCAATAGCCAACAATACATTGTATGGGTCAAAATTATCCATTTTTCTTTTATGCCAAAAATCATTAGGATATTAAGTAAAGATCATGTTCCATGAAGATATTTTGTAAATGTCCTACCGTAAATATATCAAAACTTAATTTTTGATTAGTAATATGCATTGCTAAGAACTTCATTTGGACAACTTTAAAGATGATTTTCTCAATATTTAGATTTTTTTGCACCCTCAGATTCCAGATTTTCAAATAGTTGTATCTCAGCCAAATATTGTCTGATCCTAACAAACCATACATCAATGCAACGCTTATTTATTCAGCTTTCAGATGATGCATAAATCTCAATTTCAAAAAATTGATCCTTATGACTGGTTTTGTGCTCCAGGGTCACATATTAAAAGCCAAGGAGAAGAGATGAGTTTTTGAAACAGGATTTGAAGAGTGGACATACTGCTGCTCTTTCTCCACTAATGTAGCATCTAGTCAACAAATGATTTACTTTATAATGACATGAAAACATGTACTACAGTATACGGTATACACATTGTTTAATTTTCTGTTTTAAATCGACTTCTGAAGTGTCCCTCTCTGTAGTGTGCAGTGTCACGTGTCAAAACAAACAGCAGGAGGCCTCAGTGATTCGCCTCTAGAGGGCGCTCTCGCTCTCGTACTAATGACAGCAGACGCAACCTGGAAAAACTCGCAGTACAGAGTTTGTGTGCCGATCAGTCGGTCGACCTCTAGTTACTGTGGAAAAAGATTCTTTAGATTATTAAAATGTTCTTCACACTAAGAAAAAAATGCCTCTTTTAGGAACTGTGGACTGAAAGGTTCTTTGGGAGGCAAAAACAGTTCTTCCGTGGCGTCACAGTGAAAACCCCATTTTGGAACCTTTCTTTTTAAGAAGGTGGGAGCAATCATTCTTTTCACCAATTCAGGCATGCAGATGTATGAGGTTCCATTTGTGCCAAAAAAGACTCGACTGCTTTAAACTAAACATTTGTCAGTGTCTAAGATCAATTAGTATAGGTTGATGTGTTTGTTCTATAAGTTGTTTTATTCAGTCTCCTTCCAAACTTTGCAATCAAGATAAAACATAATAAAAATAATAATTCCTCTATAGTGAAAACCCTTGTTAATGTTCATTATTTTTTAGGGGAACGGCATCCTCCTTCAATCTCTGAAAAACTTTATTATTTTAAATATGGCAGAGCTTTTTATGTTACAATTCCTTTACTTATTTATCAATATATAGGCTATCGATATGAACAAAGTGCTCTTGTAATGAGAAGCTGTATGACGAGAAAAAACCCCAAAAAGAATTCTGAAATAATAGACATCTGCTGATCTACTTTTCAGATATTAGGCAGTGAATTCTTCTCTTCTTTAGAGACGTGTTCCATTAATTATTACCAGTAAGTTCACATGTGCTCTGATTAACATTATATTCTAATATTTTATTTAAACAGTAGTTACTGTGAATATATTCGGAGAAACGCTCCATGTTAGTCACTGAATAAGCCTACATTATTTATTATTGATTTTTAGGTGATATTGCTTGGTAAGCGAATTATAAACAGTGCTCACAGAAAGAAAGAAAAACATTCATAGGAAATTATTTATGCAGTTTATTTTACGCTTTCCAGATGAAGCGATCTTTAACAGACATCTTCTAATGCGCTTCTAACCTGACGTCATTGGTCACGGCTTCTGTTCACCGCAAGGTAAGTGACGATTGGCTGCTTAGTTAGCAAAGTAGATGCACAAATCACACCTCATACCTTAGAAGTGGCACATTTTACACGTCATATGTTTATAGTTTCGCCTCCCAAATCTTTGAAACGACAGGGGAGTAACTGTCCTCTAAACCACCGGGAACCAGTGGTGAGAAGTTTTGAAGCACTCAAACCTTGGCGTCTCATGTGGAGTTGATGAATCAATTAATTTCCTTATGCATAAACTGATTCGGTTGTGGGTCCATTTGGAGCACACGCGTCAAAATGTTTGTTTTTAGTGCACTTAAGCAAACCCACACTACAAACGAATCAAATAATCATGCAAAACCCAGTGAAAACCCATTAGAATATGGATATAATAATGTATGAATAAAACTAAATTGAACAACAATCTCTTAAATATTTTCATTAAACATTTTCATTTCATACAAAATTGTATTAATCATGGACCTTTATGTTCATTAAAAAGGCTCATTTCTGCTATTGTAGGCATTTTGTAAATGTAAGCTATTAATTTAAATTTTTAGACGAGCACAAACTGGGTGCTTGAAGCAAATGTAATTGGTCACATTTCCAAAATCAGACGATTATATTCGCCCATCTGTGCAAATGTCTCACACATGCAAACACATTCTTACTCACTAAAACGCAGTTTGTGTGGAATGACAGAGGCAGGACAAAGAGTTCAACCTAATTTGAGCAGATTCTCTTTGGCCAGAATCAGTTGGAAAGTGCAAAAGAAGAGTGGAAGAGAATCTTGCAGTTTTTCTCAGTGGCTTTGGTGCATTTCTCAGATCAGAAATGAAATTCTCAAAACTACTTGTACAACCTCCACATCATCTAGTCACTTGTGCACATCATAAAAGCAGTTTCTTATTCTTTTGAACAAGTTGCGATTGCTTTGGTACATTCATGCAACTGATTATGTACATTTGTCAGCGGTTTCCTACATTATCAGTTGCTATTAGACTTTTTGTAAATTTGCCATGAATTGTGGAGGTGAATCTTGACTTTCACTAATGAAGAGAATGTAGATCAGCTAATGATAAACCAGCTCATGAACCTTCAAATGGAAAGCATATATAGACAGACTGCACTGCAATTCCTCATAAAGTGCTGCATGCAAAAGCAAAGTTCTTCATAAGGAGTGTTTCCTGTGTTTGCCTTTCTGATTTTGTATTTTCGCCTTTGTGCCCATATTTCTTTTCTATATCACAATGACGTTGTAATGTGTTTTTTTTGTCAGACCACTAGTAAAGTGTAACTGTGAATCCTATCCAGTCTCTTTCAATCAGTATCCTACGCACAGTAATGTGTAAATTTGTACTTTTGAAATGGATATATGGCATACAGAAGAAGTGCAGCCTTCAGCATTTCAATACAGTAACTGTCGTCCAAACTGCTGCCATAGTTTACATCAGGTAATACTAACAGAGTGCACTGTTATACACATTGTGTGCTGCTGTTTGTATGAATTGTTTTGAGAAAATGCACGTACTTTTTTGCAAATATTAAGGATGATTTGAGAAATGCACCAAAGCGACTGAGAAAAACTGTAAATGGCATCATCAGTATCTGCAGATATTCATGAAGACTGCACTCATATCACACTAACATGAGTGTGTGTGTGAGTGTGTGTGTGTGTGTGTGTGTGAGTGTGTGTGAGAGTGTGTCACACCTGTCTAAGGCGATGGCGCTCATCGAGTAGATGCTGGTGAACACGGCGGTCACCGGGTAGAAGTTCTGGAAGCGGCAGTACGCGCTGCTGAAGTACCAGTCCCCGTGCGCTCCGTACACGAAGTTCACCAGCGCGTTGAGCGCGGCCACGCACACGTCAGACACCGCGAGATTGAGCAGAAAGTAGTTGGTGACGGTCCTCATCCTCTTGTGCGCCACGATGATCCAGATGACGATCAGGTTCCCGGTCACGGCCACCAGCAGAACCAGCGCGAACGCGAGCGACCAGAGCGCCACGCGCCACGGAGGCTGCGCGAACCTGTTGGTGTGGTTGAAGTTTGAGGAGTTTCTTGATGAGGACATGATTCGCTGTGAAGAAGACACCTGTCTGTCTGTCTCTCTCTCTCTCTGTGTGTGTGTGTGTGTGTGCCTGTCTATCTGCACACAGGAGGAGCTGTCTCTCTGTGTGTGTGTGTGTCTGAGAACAGCCTCCACAGGGGCGGAGAGTTCATGAAACCACAGAATAAATCAGTCTAATAACACTGTGTGAGAACATTTGTTCATGCATCATATGATTCATCTCTATTACATGATTCTGTTTATTCTGCTTTCATGCATTTGGTGTTTCATATTTTCTTTCAGCATTCAAGGTTTTTGCATTTAGGGATTAATTGAAGAATTACTTCATATTCAGGAAAAGAAAAAAAAACAACTCAAAAAGGAAAAATATATTTGTTTAAATAAATATTACATCTTATGTGCAAAAATCTGCTCTTAATTTTGTCTGCAAACGCTGCCATTAAACAACTACTTCACTTTTCTTTTCTTTTTTTTTACTGCAAAAATATTTATATAAAGAGATATGTAAGTATAAAGTTTGTTTAATTTGGGCCAAATCTCAGAATAACGAGGACAGACTCAGAGATTACAGACAGAAAGACCAATCTCTAAAAGCAAAAACAACCAGTTAACATAATGGATAGAAATCTTTAATGCGCATTTTTACACAAATGTGAACTATATCTACAGAGCATTAAAAACATAGTACATCAGAGTTCAGATTTACTGCTTTATGTGCATAAATCAGTAGAAAAATATTCTTTAAAAAATGAAAACAGACGGAATGTTGCACTGAAGGCAGAAGCTCGTGACACACAGTCATACGAAGCATGATAATAGTAAAACACAAACACGTTTAACACACGAGAGAATCCTAGAACACATCAACAACACAAACCATCAGAGAACATCATTGCTTCGAAGGTCCCGCCCATTTACAGAACCAACCAATAGCAGCAGAGAGAACGCAGAGAGGAAAGTGAGCAGCAGGAGCCCTTTGACCAGGTGTGAAATAGTGAAGCCTGTTTGACAGTCGCACACCTGCAGCACCAGCAGATTTACACACTACAGACCCGCTGACCAGCACAGTCCCTCACAAAACACCAGACGGCTACAGTGACAGACACAAACTCTACTCAGTTTACAGCTCAAATATCAGAGTAATTCTGATGCCCCTCCTCGTGTAAATTGATTTTTGTGACAATCACGGTTTTAATAACAATAAAAGATATACTTTGTTATTTATTATGGCTGTTTATAAATGTAGTAACCCAGAAATCAGTGTAGTTTCTGTAATGCAGCAAAAACAGTGTAAGTGAACATCTACTGATGATAGCTGTTGTTTTGCTGACGTGCTGCAGATGCAGGAAGTGTGAAGCAGGCCGAACACACACACACACACACACACACACTTACTAGTGTCTGTTTCAGTCTGTGGTGTTTATAAGTGAGCAAATGATTGTGTGATTATCTGAAGTTTGTGATCACAGACGCTTCACGTTACAGAAGGTCGGTTTCTCGCGTTGTTTTTCGTTCTGAAACGTGTCAGAACACAATATATAACGCAGCTTGAGTCTATAAGTGCTGGTTTAGCGTTGTTTCTGTTTCAGCTCAACTACTGTCATGGCGGAGCAACAGGTTAGTGTAACTGTCCACATGTTTACAGCAGCTGCCTGATAATGAACACATCTGCTGTAGGAAACACCATCGCCCTCTGGAGTGCTAGAGATGCTACTGCCACAGTGAGACGAAGAGAGGTGCTTGTCATACAGACCAAAACAACTGACACCACTCACACACACACACACACACACACACACTCACACACTCTCTCTTTTTGGAATGATCAGTGTAGCAGATTCACAGATGTCTTGTTCTCCTTGTTCAAGCGCAGTTCATCTCCAGCTGTGAGCGTGTGTGAGTGAATATGTGTGTGTGTGTGTGTGTGAGAGCGTGCACGTGTGTGAATGTGTGTGTGTGCAAGTGTGAGCGTGTGTGAGTGAATATGTGTGTGTGAGAGCGTGCACGTGTGTGAATGTGTGTGTGTGCACATGTAAGTGACTGTAAGTGATTGTGAGTGTGTGTGTGTTTATGAGTGTGTATGTTCAACTACAGCAGGTTAAACGTGCGCAGGTAAATCTGTCTCTCGATCCACTCAGTGAAGTGCGTCACATTGGCATAGACGCCAGGTCCCAGGACCTTAGAGAAACACACAGACCCCCAGGAGGTCAAACCATACAGAGACCAGCGGCCATCGTCCCCCTCGCAGACCAGCGGACCACCGCTGTCACCCTGTAAACACACACAGATTCATCACACACACACACACACACACACACACACACACACACTCATGATGTCACTCGAGCACACACACACACACACATGATGACACTATTTTCCTATTTAATACTGTAAAGCTGCTTTGATACAATCTGTATTGTTAAAAGCGCTTTATAAATAAAGGTGA